GATGCGAATTCACAACGCAGAAAACTGCGAGGCGAATTCGAATTCGTGCGGCAAGGCATCTCGCTGCCTTTGGGTAACAATTCCTACGACGATAATCGTCAAATCGTTTTAACTGCCTCCGTGGCCGAACGGTTACCATTGACTGCCACGCAGAGGTCCCAGGTTCGATTCCCGGGCCGGGAGGAATATTTGTATGGCCTACAATTATTTCTCTCGTGAGTTTGGGTGTAATTTGTGGTTGTCTATGTGTGTGTCCATGGCATCCGCGACACAGGGTTTCCCTAGTGCGGGGCTATGTTGAGTGCGTGCGTTATTTAAAAAAAAAAACGTACTGAACGTATTCTTCAAACTAGGTAGCGACATGGGATGGCAAAATAAAGTTGCACTGCTGTTATTGATAAGAAAGTATGCGAAAAAACAAAAAGAAAATTAACATCGCAGGAAAGCGCGATGCGAAGCAATTCGCAAATTCTTGCGACGCGTCGTGCGAGCTCGTAGATTTCTGCGACGCGACGTCGCATGGCAGTTTTGTGTTTCGACCCTTAATGCATGGGGATGCATTACGTTTCCATTTTTATAAAAATCAATTCACGTGTTACTTTCTAATTATTTTTTGTATCGATTCATTTCAATGCGATATTCAAGCAAATCGGTTCAATAGAGAGGCAAAATATGTGAGCTACACTGTAAGCATAAACAATAAACATATTGTAATAATAATTAATCCTTTCATTCATTATAGTTAAACAAAACTCGATTTACAAATATTTAGTTGTAAATAGTTTTTACCTGCCCATCTCTGGACACGGGTGAGCTGTGCGGACACGAGCGTGTGTGTATGCTTACGCGCATGTGTGTGTGTCTGTGTGCATATACAAATTACTATATTAATGCACGTTAATCTTAAACATTATCACAGTTTGTGTAATTCACCTAAGCGATAAGTAAATAAATCATCCTAAATCACAATTATAGTTATCTCAAAATAACATTTCATAAGGAATCCCCTTTACCAGAGATATGTCGTTTACCCTAATTTATTTACCGATACACTCTAACCTCATCACTGATTGATTACATACATTTTACTTGGTATGTAAAGTCCCTATAAAAACACATAGGTAAATAAAAATGTAAGGCAGGAATCTCAGATAAAGGCACAAATTATGATTTTTTTTAAATAAAATATAGGGTAAAACCGGAAGATAGAAGCTGTAGTGAGAAAAGTGCCTCGTTTTCAAAAAACCTAACTTCCCCAAATCACAACAAAGAATAATTAATTTAAATAAGGAGTCTAAACACCACTCATCAAAGTTCCTGCAGGGCTTCGTGTGTAATAGACGCGTTTGGCTTGTGCATGCGTTTATCTCCGCGGCGAAGACGACAAACGGTTCAAATTTTCAGACGCAAGTAATTACTGTCGCATAACTTTGTGACTTATAATAAATTCCGTTTTATTTTTATTATAACTATACACTGGTTCATTGACTGCGCACCTAAGTTTCAATAATCGCTCTTTTGATATAGCTTAGTTAAATAATAAATGGGCATCTATACATATCGAATAAGATAGTCGCCTCGATTTTTCGCGGTATTAGGGGCAAAGGACAAGACAAGAAAGTTAAGAAAAGAAAATACATTATTTTAGTGAAAAACACAAGTAAATGATAATAGTTTAAAAGTAAGTAAACGTACCAAAAAGACAAATTATTCACATTTCAAACAGAAAACATTTTTGTTTAGAGTGTTTTGATAGCTACAAAAATACGAAGATAAGTAGGTAGTAACTTTAAATACGTATATATTTATTATTAAAGATGTAATATGTATATAATACGTATATATTAAAGATTACAAATTACTATTTTATTCTAAAGGCCATCTATCCTTCTTAATATTTTCATCGTGTGTCGTCTATCCATATGATAGGCATCTATCCTCAAAAAAATGGGTTTGCAAAAAGTCTATTTGTTCAAAATCAGTAAATGTTAGATCAATAAAATCAAGTCTTAACGTAATGTAAAAGATTAAACTAGTTATATCCATAGGAATTATTCATGATAAACTAATATTTTTTAAATTAAGACGCCCTTTCAAACGGTGGGGCATCTAACCCGGTTTTACCCTAGTGTTAAAAAGATGAATATCTACCTGCTTGGACAAGTATTGAAGCTATTACTCGCACGCAAGAGATATGCATTCCGCTGAAAGTGAATTAAACCTAAGGGTTATGTGCTGGGCAGATAGGGGATCTAAGAGAAATCTTGGACACGAGTTTCGGGGAGCCAACAGTTTCATAGACGAGCCAATTTCACTTGAAATAGTTATATTGATCAAATTGTACTACTCATTCGTAAGGCAGATTCCCCTGAGAAGAATTTAGCAGCAGTAAAGCTCCTTATGAAAGAGTTCGTCCAGGGAAGTACTGCCATCTGACCTATTTCAGCCGCCAAACGGTAATGTGAACTTTACTGCAATCCGGTTTCGAAAGGTAAGGGTACTGGTGAAATTACAGCTATATGACACAAATGCAGGTTGAATACAACAGGAAAAATAAAACTTTTTTGTCATAACAGTGAAATGGCGCTGACCCAGCATATGCCTAAGTTCCCTAAGGCACTGGTTTTTTTGTATTTTTTAATCTAATGTAAGTGTGCATTTGACCTCCATTTCACCTGATGGAAAGTGACGATGAGGTCGACTATGGAGCGTGCACACCTAAATATTGCCTATTCACTCTCGCATTCAAGAGGTCCAAGTTATAACGTTCAGGGAACAAGTCTGCAGGCAGGGAATTCGAAACGCCTCACCCTGGAAAGGATGCCAAGCTTTCTGGCTGCATTTTTGCTCATGGATTCAATGTATCTGCAGCTTCCAAGGAGCTGAAGACAGTCGGCTGTCGGTATGATATATCACAAAAAGTCGGAGTCAGCTCAAAGGGACTCCGTTTAGTGGAGATTAGACACGCCTGCGTTTTTGTAGCGTTACATTCGACAAGATTGGCTTTGCCCCAATCAGAGACTGCCTTGAGCGTCAAATCTAAACGGCTAACCATGGACTCTCGATAAGACTGGATTTCTTCTCCACTGACCCTTGCATTGGTCAAGTACCTATCTACAACTATGCTGTCATCAGCGTACGCAAAGGTACCTGGAATTAACATATCATGGATATGCAGCAAGAAAGAGAGCTGTAAACAGTATGGAACCCTGAGGAACTCCGGCTATCTATATTAATCTATCGCCATATGTTCGGAAAAATAGCCTTCTAAGACCACTCGAATGGAACGTTGACTCAAGAAATCCGAGATTCCATTGCAAAGGTCAGTGGGAAGCCCATAACATGGAAGCTTGCTTAAAAGGCTTGCGTGCCAGACCCTGTCAAAGACTTTAGAAATGTTCAAAGACACTGCAAGTGCTTCACCTTGCTTTTCTATAGCCTCGCTCCATATGTGACAGGCTTACACAAGAAGATCCCCGGTAGATCGCCCTCGTCGGAATCCATACTGGCGCTCACTGAGGAGGTCATTGTCTTCAAGGTATGACAGGAGATGTTTGTTGAGTACACGTTCCATAGTCTTGCAGAGTATGGAAGTGACTTACATAGGTCTTTAGTTGACAGGGTCAGCTCTGTTTCCCTTTTTGGGCACAGGTTGCACGTTTGCAAGCTTCCACGACCTGGGAACTACACCAGTCTCAAGTGAGAGGCGATACAGGCGTGTGAGAACAGGAGACAACTCAGACGCACAGTAACGTAGGACTAACGCTGGAATTCCATCTGGCCCGCTAGCTTTATTCACGTAAAGATTCCGCAGAGTTCTAAGTACCTCTTTTTGGCGTACTGGCGCCATAGCGCAGCCAGCCTGAGGTAAGGTAGGTGGTACGTTCCCTGCGGCATCCAGACGCGAACTCTTTGCAAAGAGTGAGGCAAAGAGATTCACCTTCTCTTTTGCTGTATGAGCCAGCGTGCCATCCGGTCTCAGCAGAGGTGGCAAAGATGGGTGACAAAAGATACTTTGGACCGCTTTGGCCAGGGACCAAAAGGATTTTTTACTACCTGCTGGATAAGAGGCAAGATTGGCCCCTATACGGCGCATGTGGTCGAACTTGGCCCTACGTAACACGCTTTTGCACTTCTTGGCGGCTATATTAAAAGCTTTCTTCGGATTCCGAGTACTCGGAGCTTTGCGCAGTCGAGCATCTGCCCATGCTTGGTAAGCGTTACAGTTACAACCGAGAAGTACTAAATCAAGAAGTTATTTGTTCATAAATGCATCTAAAGTAACCTATTCAATAACCAATTCAATGTAAGTGCATGTACGGATTTGAATATTTTTAGTGTAACTGTAAATGAAAATTATTTTTAGAAAAAAATATTTTAAGAATTGTCAACATATGTCTCAGGGTGACGTGCGCAGTGGCAATATCTCTCAGATCTTTGCGATTTAAAGCTCGCAACTGCTGTGGACAGGCGTGTCGCGTACCACCAGGCGCACCAGTCCAGTCTCTTGGTATCATAAAAAAAGTATTATATTAGATCGTACATTTCACCAAAACTTGACATGCGAATATTTTACACATTTCTTATTTTACTTTCGACGTAGCATGATGCACAATGTTTTCTTTCTCCGTTAACTAGCGAGAGGTATTGCTATTAAAATCATAAGTACAATTCCACAGAAGAAAAAAAACAACGGAAGCGCCTTATATATACATATAATAATGTTATAGGTATTTGTAGGCTGAATCAGAGCGCACGTCTGCTGAAGCATCTGTAATATAAAAGAGAGCGAAAACTGATAACAACAAATCAGTCGCAAGCGCACGTTTCAAAGCCGTGCGTTTTCCGCGTTCGAAAATTGAACACCTAAACAAATATAAAATTCGTTTCTTAATTTAAACATTAAAAATATTATTACGAGAATTCTAAATTTAAACTACATTCTAATATTTTTCTAGTATAATTTCATTCCATTAATGAATAATTTATTTTTTTAAAACGAGATGTTATTTTAGTGGCTCTCAATTATTGTGTTCTTTTTTAATTTTGTTTGAAGTGGTACCAACATGGTGAATAAAATGTATACAGTTAGTTCGGAAAATGACATTAAATATACAGGAAGCAAACATAATCAAGTAATCATGTCTATTATAGGTAAGATTTTTATTTCATATTTTCAATTAAAAAGTAAACTATTGCATGTATCTATTGTAAGAAACAGTTATAAGTTTAAGTGCGTATTTGACCTCCGTCTCATCTGATGGAAAGTGACGGTAAGGTGCACCTATGCAGTCTCGCCATGAAAACACGCAAGTTATGGTATTCAGGGGATAAGTGTGCAGACGGAATTATAGTCTTCTCTACTTATGGAAACCTGGAATATCCACAACATAAGGCTGGAGCCTTAGCTTGGGTTTACTCCCCTGATGATGGAAAAGGGAAGGTGGCATTAATTAATCGTGTAATTCCCTCGCACTCTCCATGCTATAGGTATCCTGTAAAATATCGATAACCACGGAACTGTACGACGGCGTTCCCGGTGTACCCTATACGCCTCTTGCCACGCTTTTCAACTGAATCCACTTTAAAGTGACAGATAATGCCCTAAACCCTCCCCTTAGAGGAGATCAGTGCACGGCAGTGGGATGTTGTTTTTAATTTTTTTTTATAAAACCAAGGGACGGGACGAACAAGTCGTGCGCCTGATGGTAAGCTTCACGCCTGTCCATAAGAGTTGTAGTGCCACTCAGAGCTTTAAATCCTGCCTGTATTTTCACCAGCACCCTTATCCTTCAAAACCGAAACACAGTAATGCTGACATTACTGCTTGACGGCAGACATAGGTAAGGTGGCAGTACTACTCTGGACGAACTCTTTAACAAGGAGCTCTACTTCTACTATAGCGGTGTTCTCGGTTTTCATTATAAGCCTCTCGGCACGCTTTTCAACTGAATCCACGTTAGCGTAATAGATAATGTCCTAAACTCTGTCCTTAGAGTAGATCCGTGCACAGCAGTGGGACGCACAACGTATAATGTCAACTTATCCAGTTTTTTGTACCATAATGTTTAATTCGGTTAAGGATTAACTGTTTTAAAATGATCTAGCTTTTGTTAATGTTAATGTTATTAAAAAGCCGAGGTAGCCGAATGTTTAGACCTACCGTCTCTCAAGCAGAGGCCGTGGGTTAGAATCCATGAGTTTTTCGGTGAAGGAAAATATCGTGATGGAACCTGCACGTCGAGGAATAAATATAAACCCTCGGAAAACTTGTGAAGCCTGTAACCTGAGAGCAGAACCATGCCCGGCAGTGGGTATAAAATGGGTTAATGTTGTTTTATTAGTCCATAAGTTAGGTACAGAAAGTAAATAATTCTTACACTCAGAATTTTCAAATGTTTACATCCTCTATGTCACTTAACATACAATAAAACTGGCATCTTTATCAATACAAAAGAAATTCTCACACTGTAATTACAGGCCAATTTCCTATTACGAAGAACGAGTTTATTATATATCGGATTGTTATTGAAACCAATTGCATAAAGTAATATAATATCAATTAGTCTGTACAACCTCAAATGGCTTTGGTTGATTACGCATAACAGTGAGAGTGTTGAATCAATCACTTCGGGAAAAATATATAGTAAAATTGAGGATATAAACTGATTCACTATACGGTGTGAAAACACAATACACGATAGAAAAAAAAACACAACAAAACCTCAAAATTTTACAAGCAAACCAGTGATTTTTTTATATCAATTGAACTAAGTGGAACATTATATTATGATATATATTTTTCAAATTAAAAAAATTAATTCTGAAATAAAACACGTGGCCTTGCCGCACGACTCAAGCAAAATGAAGCGTATTAGTATGGGAAAAAAATTAATTTGACGTGAGTTAGTATCGACTCTCAACGTATTGAAATGATTTAGTTGTCTTGCCAAGTAACTAAGATATCAGACCAAATAGTGTAAATCCACACAAACGTAACAGCCACGGAAAAAAAACAAGCAATGGAAGTGTCGTAAGTCTCGATTACTATCAGAACCGCTGTCTCTAAAACTCACACCATCATAATTCTAAACACTATGAAATCTTGATAATGATTGGTTGTAGTGTCTTCTAGAAGTAACGAATTCTGGACTGTTATTACAATTTAAACTTTACCCTGTTGGCATATGGCTTGACCTTATTAGTTGATATTAGCTCGAATTCATATTTTTTCCTATACTAATACGGTTCATTTTGCTTTGAAATTAAAGCCATTTGAAAAATGTATATCGTATACTATACACGTTCTATTTAGCTTAATTGATATTAAAAAGAATCATTGGTTTATGTAAAGTATCTACGGAATACAGCGGTTTTCTTGTAAAATTTGGAGGTAAGTTACAAATTATCCGAAGAACATAGTCCGATGTGATTATATAGCGAAAAGAGGATAAGTACGTTACGAGAATAATTTCGTTATTCAAACTAACACCTATGTCAATGGCTTTTGAGAATTTACATATCCTATTTCGTTTCGGAAATATAAAATGGAACTACGGTCGATCTGACATCCACAGCGAACAAGAACGAACGAAATATACTGTGGTCCTGAGAACAAGTAGTCTTGCACATAGATCTTTGTTCTACGGATGAGTCGTTTTGTGTTTTTTTTCTATAATGAATATTTAGGAATCGTGTTTTCACACCACATACTAATCAGTATGTGTGAAGTTTACTATACTACATTCAATACTTGCGGAATCAACCAAAGCCGTTTGAGGTTGTGCCAACACTCAAGGACGACGAAGACGTCGAGCGAGAACGCAGAGCGCAGAGCCTACATGGTAGCCCGCAGATTTATTTATTGCTCATTAGAGGCGTAAATTACACTTTTTAGAATATACTGTACATCTTTTTCTTTACTCTGGTAGCTTGTGGATAATACACTCGGAGCAATGCCATGCAACAACATGTCCAGGGTGCTGCTGGGGCTGCCTCGCTGCTGCAGCGCATCAGTGGTGTTTGTGGAGCGGCGGGTAGACAGTTTCCTTCCACATCATAATACGCAAGCGTCTCTGACACGCAAAATACGTGCAAGCACCAAGAGCATCCTGAACGTGATTGCAAACAGACTCGACTGCCCGTATCTTACTCATTGCGGCAGGCTTCATATAAATCATTTTAATAGTAATGCTATTTAGAATTTAATAATGTAATTTGCCTGATAATTTGTTTGTTTATTAATTTGTAATATACAGATCGCACTGTTAATACAATAGTATGTTAACTCAAAATGTGTATGTTTTCAGAATCGATGAAAAATGAATTACTTCACGAAAAGATAATTAAAATTTAGGGATAGGTTAAAGTTTATTACAGATATCTATACAATTTCCTACTTGTCCAAAATACATTTCTTCCCTAGTTTTCCAGAACTAACTCACATAAAGTTTGTCTCATTTTGAGTTAAGTATTATATATTATTATCATTAAGTTGTTTCTTATAATATTCTAACGACGGTTCTATTGATGTGTAGAGAATAAAATTTTGCTTTCAACAATGGTATAATCTTGAATTTCACATATTTGGAGTTACAACACTATTGTAATAGTAGTGCGATATGTCGATATTTATAATGTAATTTATTTTATTTTATTTACTCATTTATTTTTGTAAGCCACCGAACGAACCAGTGGACCTTCTATGTGCTTGTTCTCGGTTCTTTGTTTTTAGTTTTTAACGATTGTTTTGCCGTAGCGCCATATGTGAGAAATCTATGAAAGTATTTCATCACCCAGTGAGGTACCTTTACAGCTACCAACAGCTGGCTATAGAGAAGTCGCTTTAATTGTAATTATGTTTTTATTGAGGAGGATTTGCAGGATGTGTGACCACCACGATATTCAATCGTTTTTTAGTGAAATTGCGCCGCTAGTTTGTTATAATTATTAATACAAAGATCCAACACTTTCCCACTATCCCGGACCAGCGAATTTTCCGGGAAACCGGCACTCGGACTAGGTTTTCACATTAAGGCGGATCTGGCAAGAAAACCGGAGACTAAAGTCTTCAGACCTCAGTCGAATTCAGACCATTGCGCGCGATGGACCATATTTTACGGGAATGATTTTCACTTACAAAAATTCCTTCAATCCGGCCGGATGCGAACCGACGTCTCCCCCTAGCAAACCGTGGCAGTCGCTAGGGGGAGCGTGCTTGCTAAGCCACGGCACGAACCATTCTTAAAATGATGTTGTTCTAATTTGTAACTAACAATAGTATAAATTGCTTAATAAACACCAGTGATCGAAGTTGGTACAAATAAAAAAGTTTTCGTATTATTATATCGCTGAGTCCAATATTTATCATTGCAATAATAAAAAACTGTTCAAAGATTTGACGCTGACTGTACCTGTCCCTGAACATTAATTTCTCTTGTTCCAGTATGCATGCCCATAGTCTCCTATGGGGCTGCAATGGGTTGGATATCTCCTAACAAAGCTCTACTAATGGGAGATTCGTCACCGTCAAGTTCTCCTCTCAGCGAGGAGGACGTCTCCTGGATGGCGTCGATCATGTTCATATTTGCACCGATTGCGGTGTTTGTTTTTGGTGTGGCTGCAGACAAATATGGGAGAAAGAAGTCTTTGTTGAGTTGTTCCGTTCCTATAGCTGTAAGTTGCTATTTTTTTTTATTTTATTGTAAAATGCAAGCTAAATGTAGTCTCAAAAGCCTTTATTACCATTAAGTGATCCCAAGTTCGATTCTCTCGTATAGTATATGAAGTTTACTATTTTATTCGACAAGTAACATATATTAGGACCTAATAGTGTACCTTGTAGGATTCTAAGATGTTCTTCATAAAATCTAAAGTTTGGCTTCTAATGTTCAATTTGCAAAAGATATAGTTCCTAAAAAGAAGAAGGTACTTCTTATAATGTATTGTGAAAACAAAAAAGGGAACTTATGAAATTAATTCAATATTGGACCCAGTACTGTACCTTGATGTACCCCATGGATAATATTTTCCATGACAATGTTATACTATTTTTTCTTTTCCTCATACATTTTATTGGGTAGATTTAAATAGCTTTGGTCCTAACCTTGAAGGAACCTTCTGATTTTTCAAATTTTCGCTTGTTTGCAGCTGGGCTGGGCTGTGAAACTTCTAAGCGCACATCCAATAGCCTTAATCGGCGCCCGCGCATTTATTGGCTTCGGTGCGGGCGGCGCGTTTGTTGTCTGCCCGCTTTATGTCAAGGAGATAAGTGAGGACTCTATCAGGGGGATGACTGGAACCTTCATTATTTTCTCACAGGTATGTTTGTCAGGGCATATAGAGAACCAAGCGTATGTTCTTACGAGATAAATATAAGGACAGCTCGCTGTGTTCTTGATTGTATTGAGCGGTCGCCAACTGCCTACAAAGTGTGGCGACTATGGCTGATGCTCGTAGTTAGATTAATCATTAGGCAACTGATATGTACCCTATGTCCTTGGGGGACGCCAAGGTCCAAGAAAATAATGTTCCACTAGTAATTCTTTAATTCGGCTTTCCGTGACCTGTGATTTCACAGGCCGTCTCGCGCTGTCCCTGTTTCTGCAGGCGTGCTCGTCGCGTCGCCTCAGGACGCGTGTACTCGCTAAGAAATTCGACGTGTCTGCTACAGAAAAGATGAGAAAGATCTTGTATGAGGCAATAACTTTGCCGGATCTAACCACGAAAACATGTCGTGTCTGTTGCAGACGAGAATGATGAGTATGTACACGATACGAATGCTTTCGGACAGACGTATGCAGGGTAAAATGTGTCAGTGCATTACGAGTCTTCCAGGTAGCTGTCGTTTTACTACCGATTGTGAGAAGAAATGTGTTGTTGTATACATTGACTACTAAGCAACGCCTATCCACGCGTATAAACGTTTGTTTACTGACAGTACACCTCACCCCGCCCCATACAATAGCGGTAGAGCGCGTCGTGTTGGAGGTAGACAAGTTTTTTTCTTGTCCGGCGCCGAGGCAGTGTACACAGTTCGTGCTTAGAAGGACACGAATTCTTGCGTAAACCCGGCGATTTTTCTTGCGTGGACACGCGCCCTTAGGCCTCGTAGACGTTGCGAAACGTGCCATATACTACATAATATGCCATGTCGATAAAGTGATGGAAAACAAAATTGTGCCAAAAAATAAACTAACTTCACTAACTTGGTCTTGAAAGTCCCTTCGTATAACTCAGGGATCGAAGACCGTTGTAGGCGTAACACGTGGAATTGAACACAAAATTCTTAAAGATACGGTAGAAATCACAATGTGTTAAAAGTATTTGATACTGGTAAACGTGAAACACACGCTATTCAAAGCAACTCAGGGATTGAAGAAGTATCCGTTCTAAGCGTAGCAAGTGGCAAGCGGAATTGAACACAAAATTCATGCAGATACGGTGGAATTCACGAAGTACCGGTTAAATTGTCCGATGAATATAAAACAAACACAAATCAATAGTAAACTTATTACAAGCGATTTTGTAACGTGGCTCCTAGACAAAATTAATTTCGACGTGAGCTGACAAATGTTAATCATTTTTAAAAACTATTAATAGATATCGAGTTTTAGGTTGTCGCGATTTTTCACACATCAGAAACGAAACTAGTTTTTCCGATCTAAATCGACATAGAACCTGTAAAGGGTCCAAAATGTTGAAAAGGTTAATTTTCTGGTTAGTTATCTCTCCCTAATTTCGTTGGCAATTTTTATTATTTGAATATTATAGAATATTATCATGAAGTATCATTTAATATTTCATGATACTCGAGTACTAAAATAATAAAAATTGTATCCATCAATCCAACTATTAACGGACTTCAGAAATTGAAACATAACTAATGAGATTCTGTATTTGACAACACTCGCTGAAGATAGAGACTGACCGACAGGCCCCTGGGGTCCATGACGCTGGTAGGAGATAACCGATAGGAGATAGATTCTATAGCCGTTAATATTTAATATAGCCGTTAATATTTTGCTTAACATTATGCAAAATTCAGTAAAACTGGCTAAACAAATTCGTCTATTGTATGTAGAATCGAAATTATACTGTTTATTTCTATAATATTTAGCTTTACGAGTATTGTTCCGCCCCGTTTTTGTGCCCCGTCGGGTACAGCTACACCTGATTTTTGTACTTGTACGGATTGATACTCAATACGATCAAACAAAATCGCGCGCTTGAAAATCCCGTCATCTATAAAACAAGTACGGCGAAGAGTTGTGTCGACGTTTGAGAAAATCAGTTAGGTTCCTCAAGGCACAGTATTAGAACTAGAATTGTAATAGATTGCTTAGTATCTTGAACCTCAGCAACTGCATAGAAATGTTGCAAGGCTTAGCGCCTTGCATCGAATGTACCATGGCGAGTGCTCTGAAGAATTATTCAACCATATCGCACCCTTAGCACGCGTGCAGACCTCCGTAGTCATCGTTTTAAATCGCGAACTAAAAAGTTTGGTGGCACCTTTCTCTATCGCAGCGTAGCCAAATGGAACGCCCTACCAACGCACGTATTCGCTCCTTATGATATGGTGTCCTTCAAATGAGGTGTGAAGAGGCATCTTGTAGGTATGCAGGGTGGACGGAGGTGGCTAGGGCAGTGATTGTAACGCCTTCATGTCTGGATGCCACTTTCCATTTAATATCAGGTGGAGTGGAGTCATCTGCCTGACACGTATAAAAAAAACTCTGACATATCGCACTTGACAACTAACATCTCCAAAATTGTGTTATAATATATTTTATCTCAAAATTTATTAACAGTTTATCTCCAAAATTTCGCTATATTTGTATGTGATTCGTATACGATTTAATTTCAAAGTGACAGGAGAACATTGTCATTTACTGTAACTTAAAGCAATTTTGAGATAATACTATGTTAGTTGTCATGTGCGATATATATCCTACTTAATTAAAACAACTTAATGCTATTACATTCAGAAATAGAGCTCTTTTCCGCTTCGCTTTGCTGGATAATGAGTCGCTAATTGGGTCACTTTTTTTTGCTACAAGTATCCCACTTCTGTATATTACGAATTTATACAATGATTTTCGTTAATCAAGTTGTATTTTCCGAGAGATTTTGTCCTAACTACCAACAACCAATGTCCTTTATCATCGCCATCTTTACAAGTTTCCTGTTTACCACGTGTACATACATAATAAACAATTTTCTTTCGAATAGATGGCACGACTCGTCATTATACTATAATGCCCTTATTTATAATGTTAATGGACTATTTATCCGTATACCAGGCTTTGTGTCTTTCTTATTTGTTACATAAATGTGTAAATCTACATGGTGTAACAAATGTGGGAAATAATACGTAAAAATCCATCCCATAACATCGAACAACTTTAGGCAGCTATATTTTCCTTTAATGGTTTTTATTTCGCTTATATATTCTAACAAGGCATAACACCTTGAACATAGATGTAATACAGAAGTATTTATAGATATGAAACAAATCTGTTCTTGTTGCTACACGAATTCACTGGCCGAAAAAGATTATAAGCATTTCGGGTCGCGCAAAAATATATACATACCGGCAAAAGGTTTCCATACCGGAGGACGATAAAAATTTCTTAAATTCTTGCAATGTTTTTGTAGCAACGATATTTTAGACCCGAAAGATAGGGAGTTCCGGGGAGACTACGGGCTAAGACTAGGGTACGTTAGGCGTTCGGGCAGAGTCCTCCGCCAGTGATACACCTTCACGGGCGTCTCTGGCGGGCCCGACCTTAGATATGGACTCGCCGGGGTTTGTAGTTAGCTACAGGGATGAACAGGTTCGTCTGCCCCGGTAGCATGTGGCCCAAGCGTTCATCCCGCGCGCATCTAACGCGTCTTAGTAGCGGTGTAAACGAGAGCTTAATGGTGAGGAGACGCGCGGGACACGTGAGTTGCCCTTTGAGTCGTTAGCTATGTCCGGACATTATCACAGGATACTGCGGCATCTCCGGCACTAGACCGGAAAGCTAGTACAGGATGAGCTAGACATCCTCCGGTCCCTACAGCCGCGTAGGAATTTGGGAACTGGAGAGGCGCCGTTTTTCGGCGTCGGAAAATGAGCGTGCCTTATAGCTCCACCACCAAACAGGAGATTTGGTAGTCGGCTTAGAGTCTAAGGCTCAGCTGTGGCAACCGATAGTCTCGCAGAGCGAGACCTGAAGTGAACGTGCCTACAGCTCCGGTACCCATCCGGAAAATAGGGAAGGTGCTGTACGTGCAACCGGGGCGGCTCACCTCAGGCGCTAGCCTTACAGAGAACCAGATGTGATCTGGAGTTAGAACCTGGCTTAGATGATCCCTGCGCGGGTCATAGTGCTCTTCTCGTACACCCTAAGGGTCGGTAGGGAGGGTCACTACAATCAAAAGTAATGTAGAAAAATATGGGGCTGTTATTTTGTTACAGCCTTTATAATAAAAATATGCACTCGTATGTTAAATTGTTGCAGCTGGCTAAAACTTAATAGAAATGTATTTCGTCATGGGATTCAATAAAGAAAATGTTATAGTACTAAATACGCATAGTATAAATAGAAAATTTCATAGAAACCTGGATTTTTCGTCGATAATTGCCTTTGGATCGTGCCCTGGGACTTAACTTATTATTTAACATAACTAATTGCCAGCCGTCTGGTCACTCTGAAGATTTGGTAGAATATAAATACTAACGTATTTATCGAGTTCTTACATTTTTGGTATCGATATATTCTTTTA